CTCCAACCTAATGGCGATGGCCTCCAACCTACTAGCTTCTTGCTACTAGTAGTAATGGCCTTCAACCTAATAGCGATGGCCTCCCACCTAGTAGCTTCTTGCTACTAGTAGTAATGGCATCCAACCTAATAGCAATTGCCTCCCACCTAGTAGCTCTAGTTACTAGTACAGCTATGAAATTGACATCCTTTGGACATGACATGAAATGACAAGACCAGTGCGAAGCGCTCCAAGAGCCGGACGAGGACAAGGGTACATGGGTAATGAGAGTGACGGGAACAAAAGCATGACTGGTTGTACAGAATTTTACGTATAGCATATAATAGCTAGTATCAAGATACGTGTCCTTCAGTCGTTCTGACTCTCTCCCAAGACTTTTCTAGACCTGTTTTATCCTTCGTTTCTTTCTTCCTTTCTTTGCATCCCTGTACTACTGATTTTATCGCCGCAAGCATAGATCTTGTAAATTATGGTTCAGGTGGATCTTGTGCCGCCAAGACTCTCTGTTGGATTCGTTTCTCACCTCAGCATATCATTTCACACAACGTCCAGCTCGCACCGGCTCAGTCTCAAAGAATCTGATTGCAAAAGGCTGCGCACCTCTTGTACACTTGAACGAATCTGCTGCGCTTTCCTTGTGGCCACGGTATAGCAAAGAAACATGAACCAGCAACCGACTCCAAATCATGTCCAACTCGCCACCCATGTCCGATGCGCTGAGAACCTGTCCGCGCTGACAGGGTTGCCTTCTCAGCAGCATCCTGCCACATGACGCTACTTGGTACTGTGTTGCAATTCTGCGATCAGTCATCAAACGCTGGATCAAGGGTGCATTGCCATATTAAGCAAACTAACTCATGGTCAGCAAAAGAAATAGAAAGACTCATGCTCCACCCACCTGAGCCTGGCTAACACTGCGCAAGGCCTGGCCAAAAGCAAGGCCTGGGGAGCACCTCCTCCACCTTTCTGCCCCATCCAAATTGAATGGAATCTTGGGCCCCGACATTGCACTCTTGGTCAAGGCAATCTCTTGGGGGCAAGTGTCTTTTGGTGTGGGTTCATTTAGAAGAGCCGCTGTATCAAATCCAGCCACTGCCAAAATCACAAATTATGGGTTGAAAGATTGGACACCTTAAACTCTCCCTCCATTCGCTTTCGTAGACTCTCCCTGCCAAAGGTTCAACGTGTTGTTCAAAACTGCACCCACTGCATCTTCCGCAATGATATGCTGGCAGCTTACATGGTAGAATGATACTCCGGGCATTCAGGAAAAAAATACCTATATATCAGTATATTATATGATTATATGATATATATATATATACAGAGAGAGAGAAAGCAGGAGATGGACTATATACTCAAATTCAAATTTTACATGCTTCCCCTAAACACAGCTGTTCAGTGTCGAGTGCGACTAAGCGACTCACTCTGGCCTCCATAATTTGCAGTTGGGACATTTTTGCATCCTCTCGAGATCGGACCTACAAAGTGGGTGCCAAGAGAACAGCAGGCGGTCCTGCCTAAATAAACTACCCTCCCAGGGGCACTCTCCCCAGAGGGGACGGGAAGCAATGATAAAAGCAAAACATAACTGAGTCCCACCAGAACAAGTCGAAACGTCTCTCAGAAAGCAGTAGCCGCCGTGCTAAGCATCTGACTCGCGCATGAGCTGCCAATGACAGGGCATCAAGTTCCTCTTTGCTAGGCTCCAGCGGAGGCCTTTCACAAAGGCAAGGAGGTGCGTATCTAGGCTGCTCCAGGGGTTCAGGGGGTGCATCCAATCGAATGATCATGCTTCTACCACATTGGCTGTTGCAATAAGCCGTGTCTGACATGTCTGAGCTAAAATCCCTTCGGCCTTGGGCGTGTGTGCAAGGGCCCAGGCAAGTTAGCCTGAGCACTTCAATTGCAACCAAAGCAAATGAACATATTGAACCAGCACCAGCAGCAGCAGCAGCAAAAGCACATGCAAGATTTTACAGGTACTGAGCCCTGGAACTCCAGGCCTGCTCTCCTGGAGGAACCGGTCCCACAGATACAAAGCTGCTCCGGGTGCCCATCGTGTCAATGCAACATGAGCCTGTATGTCACAGAAAGTTCTGTCTTGGCAGTAACAAACTACATACATATGTGTATAATATATATATATATTCTACTGCGTTAATGCCTTGCAAGCTGTTCGATGATGTCTCATGACTCACCTTCTACTTGGTAAAGTTGTGGACAACGGGATTGGGACATCGTGGCTGGAATGTGGGCTGTCTCCTATCGTAGGGAGTCATTCGCTGTGATTCCACAAAGCGCTGTATATAAAACCACCAATTTCCTTCAAAACCAGTCAATTAAAATCTGTTGCAGAGATAAAGAGCTGGCGCTGGCGAGCGACGGTGGACATCTCCGATCAGTTCTCGGATCCCTTCGGCCGTAAACATACGGAGACCACAACGGCCAAGTTGGACCGAGCGAGAGGCGGAGGAAAACTGAGGCCAAATGTTTATGATATGTGACGGAGAAAGTCAGCTAAAGAGACCTCTTGGCTAAGGTCGTATCCTCATGAGACTGTTTATAATGTCAGAGTAGACCTGACAGGAACAGGAACACCATGCAACAGCTGCTGCAACACCATATTTCGCAGGATTTGCAAAACGTGGGTCGATGGTGAGACTGGCTATGCTGTCTCCTCGGCTTTGCGAAGGGTCAGCTGACGCAAAAAGGACTTGGACAACCTCGATCAATCGGAAGACTTCCAGGCTGGAAGCAAATAGAGTGCAGTGCAAGTCCTCAAACTATTACACAGGTTCCTTGGTATTCAGGGTTCTAAAAGTTCACATCCTGCATGATCCTTTGTTGATGCTGCCTCTGACAGCATCACGATCAACGTGCCACACCATGGTGGCACGAGACATGGCACCTCTGCAGGTCGTGGCAGGTCTGCAGGTCTCAGTATCCGTGTGATGGATATGCAGTGCTTCTGCTTTGCAGAGAGTGTAGTTGTCGCAGCATTGACTCCTGGACACGGTCCAACTTCAAACAACCCGAGCGACTTTTTCTTCGGTGTTGACACCCTAGCGGCTCTAGTTCAAGGCTTAAATGAAAAAGAAAAAAGAAGTGTATCGACTTCCAGACTTCTCGTCTATCACTGTTCCTTCCTACGTCCCACAAACGTCTGTCCTGGTTCCGCTTGATCTCGATGTTCTGCTGCTCGATTCCTGGCATGGCTTTGACAAGCCAAACTTGGACACTAAAAGCAAAAGTTTGATCCAAGCCACGTTCAAGTACGTCTGTCCATGATGGAGGAGCAGGGGCCTGCGGATGTTCGGATTTTAAAACAGAGTTTTGTCAAGACATGCCAATATGTGCCTTTCTTTGAATCGAATGATGGTATTGCAATCGAATTCTGTAGTTGACACGTTTTGTTCATACAAAATCCAACCGTGTGCCAAAGCTGTCTTTGGAATCAAATCAGGTCGCATCTCATTCATTCTCATCTTCACCAACCAATCAGCATCTCTAATGATCAAGCCGTTGGGGTTGCTGGGTCAGTCTGGTTGAGCTGCCCGGCCCCGGGCGCCGTGGCCTCCTGTGAGATCAAGGCAAGGACAAGTGGCAACTGGGCATGTGCCTCTTCAGGAGAGTATATATTTGCTAATAATTGATATGTATATATGGTTACAGTGCATAAAAGATCTTTTGCATTTGATATGTTTTAGTTTAGGTATTTCTTGTGAATCCTTTGAAAGTTAACAACATTAAAAACAAGGAGAACATGTGATTTGGACAAGGCACGATCTTTAAACATGGTGCACAATAAACAATTGAATTCAATTTCTCCTTGGTCACCTAGTGTTGCCTCTTCTCTGACTGATGCACAAATTGAGCCGCACCTGTGCTTCCTGTTTTCCAACCCATGCATTCATGTAGCCTAACTGTACAACTTGAGTGACTACTTTTCTCTTACCTTTTACCAATCTGTTCAAATAATTCATTCCCCACTAAAAAGACCACGAAACGCATCACAACTCTATGTCTATATATGTGTGTTTTCCTCTCTCTCTCTTTCTCTTTTATATACGTATATTAATATTAATCTTATATATGTATGTTCCGGCAATCGAATGACCTAGACATGAAAGTGTGAACTGAGTGTCTGTAGTATGTGGCGGGTGGCGGGTGGCTAACTTTTGTAAGCACAGCAAAACTGGAAGACGAGACGAGCAAATGGTCATCCGGCTTGGCTGGCTGAGGTGGCGTGCTGGAGTCCTTGCTCCTGATTTCAACTGGATGGATGGATGTATGGATGGATGGATGCTATTTTTTGCTTTGCAAGACGCTGAGGTAAGTCTCATTGCGCATCCCACTCCTTGGCAGAGTGCATGCCGCGTTCTTAGGCCGAAAGAAACTGAAGCAGCTCTTGTAGCTGCTGTGATGGTTCAGGCTGTTCACAGGCGCGCAGGCCGCGGTCCAGATGTACTCCGGTCTGGTGGTGGTAGACCGGTGGCCTGGCATCGTTCTTCTCAATCCACTGGCCATCAAGGCCATTCAAAACTGCCACGTAGTGGCCGCCACGCTTGTCGCCGAAGTGGGCCAAAATGGCCATGACCTGGTAGGGCTTGAGGCTATAGGAGATGTGATTCCCATCAAAGATCGGCAAGTTGATCACTTCCGTGAAGCGGACCTTCGGCACTGCCACCGAGTCATGGTGGACCAAGTAGCCTCGGTCCAAATGCAGACATTTGAAGGGTGAGGAGGAAACATAAGCCGAGCGCGTTCCAAAGTGGTGAACCCAAGACCAAATGCAGTCCGAGAGGAGGACATGCTCCATGTCAAGTTCTTCAATCCAGTTGAACGTCAGCAAACAGAGTTCTACACCTTTTTCAAACACATCAACTGTCGATCCCTGGAGCTATCTCTGCTCCGCGGTGCGATCAAGCAAGGGGAGCTGACTCCACTCAAGCACCCTCAAAAGGAATTCCACAGCACAGCATTGCTGGTGAGGCTGCGTGCCCCAGTACTGCATCAGTGGCCGCAGGGCCACATGGTCAAAAAGTGTGACCGGCTGCTCACTGGTGCATATGCAATGCCAAAACATTGAGCCAGGCCTTTGCCTGGTGATCCCAAATCTCACTCAGCTGCGCCCTTTCCAGAGGATCTGATAGTAGAAGCCATATCAGGTCAGTGAGGGTGGCGTTTAGGTAGCACCATGACTCTGGATTTGCCAGCCTGGTCTGAAGTAGCCCTTGTCGAGCGGCTGGCAGGTCCAAGGTCAGGGCGTCGTTCCTGCTCAAGAAGAGTGTTTTTGCTTGCCCTTTCCCTTTCCCTTTGTCTGCGGCCTGTGCGTGGAGGCCGAGCGCAGGTTCTGCTGAATGGTCGTGGCCAAATGAGTGCGCTTGGCATTGCGCGGTCGCATCGTCATCTGCAACAGTTGCCACGTGCTCGAATATGTGAGCTTGGAGAGCAGATCGAAGAGAGTCGTCTCGCGCAAGCCAATCTGCATCTTCCAGGGGGTGGGGTCCCCATTATTGGGCTGAGCTCTGCTGGCATAGGAGTTCTCTGATCTCGTCCAGAAACTCCATAACAGTCGTCATGGGCAAACTCTTCTTGGCTTGATTGATTTCCAGCTTGCTCTGGGAGTGATTCCATATCAGGAAGGGCCAACTCCCATCGGGAAGATTGATATCGGCCACAGTGAAGGCTGAGCTGAGGGCAGCCAATGGGACAATCACAAACCGCTGGGCGCAAAGGCCACAGGGTGTGACAAAGTTGAGGGGCCTGAGGTTACGAGGGTGATCCGGGGTGTTGCTGGGCTTCGTCAACCAGACGAGCCAGCTGTCCTTCCGAGAGGATGGAGGAAGGAACGGAACGTCTGAGCTTCACCAAAGTCGCAGCAGTTCAAACAATTTCAATGCAATGGTGTCTGCGAGTGGACCGAATGCCTCTCCACGCTTGGTTCCACTTCAACTTTCTGATGGCTTGATGCAGTTGGTCCACTGTGAAAGGCATATGGGTCACAGGCAATGGAGTCTCACTCCAGGAGGTCACCCGTGGTCAATTGCGCAGTCCCCGCTCAGGCCGCGGAGCGTTTCATGTGGTGCGGACAAACTGCACTAAGGCAGCATGTGACTCCACAGGACCCAGAGGTTGGCCATGACAGTCTCTAAGTTGAATAGGTCGACGAACAGCTTTGGTGAAGCTTTAGGAAGTCACAGTATTGCCGCCGCACTCTAAAGATGCCTTTACAAGTATGATCTGCATGATTTCTGATTTGGTGCCAAAGGGCCCATTTCTGTTGAACAGCACTTTCTTGGAATTGCCAAGCAGGTGTGGAATGGCCTGCTGGTGGAAACGAGTCAGCAAATGCGGTCCGAAGACGGTTGCGCATATCAATGACTGTGCGCATGGAAGCTGACTCGTCAAAGAGATCCCTGTCTCAAGCAGCAAAACGTTGCCAAGAGCAGGACGAGCACTCCTTGGCTTGGTGTGCGCGTTCTCTTTGCTGCAAGGTGATGGTGGTAGGTCTGGCGCGATCGAATTTCCTGCGCCAATGGATGGCCATGGAACTACTCAGCGGGAGATGATAGGAAATCAAATTGGCTATCAAAGGAAATGAAAGTCATGTTGCGGTCGAAATCTTGGCCAGTTTATCACACAGGCGGCTCGTGTGAAGGCAAAATCAATCCGAGAAGAGCTCCTGCCATTGGTGGTTGACTTGAAAGCAGTTTTAACCAACAAGGTTATGCAGTTTTACAATACGGCAAAATGCTGGCTGTCAGGATGGTGCACATTCGATGGCAGGGTACCTGAAAAGGTTTGAACGAGGCAACAGGGGCCAACGAGGTGACCGCAGGCAATGTACAGTTAAAGTCACCAAGCCACAAGAGCATGTGTCTGCACGGCAGTCGATCCAGAGCCTCCCATAGCTTTTGACTCTCTAAAGTGTGCTGACGACCACGATATCGAGTGCATCCTTCTCTTGCAGCATGGTGACAGGCCTTACGAAAAGCTTTTTGCGGCTACAGGACATGTGTGGATCTTGCTGGATCCATTCGCCCCATTCCAGAACAGGATTTGGCGATTGGTTGTGAAGCTTCTGCCATAGACCAGCACTATGGCAACCCTCGGGCCACCAAGACGGTGCCTCAGCTCGTAGAGGACTCGTCATCGCCATGAAGTGCACTGCAATCAGGAGCGTCGTCTTGGTCAGGGACTTGGGACCCTGAAGGGCGGCGCAGAGGTAAAAGAGAAAGCGCAACATAGCGCAACAAGATGGTGATCAAATACCCAATGCAAAAGACCCTCGTTCCCGTGATGGTGGTCTCGTTGAAGAGATGCCCTTCAGGAGGTACTCCGCTATCATCACGGGCAAAGTTCCTGTACGACAGGAAGGGCAGGTGCAAGGTCTCCATCTTCAGCAGAACATGTTCGAAGGGGGAGACCCGCACCAGCCTCCCACAAGGGCATGTGGGAAGGCCTGAACCGCTCGTGGCCCTTGATGCATGGATGGATGGATGGATGGATGGATGGATGGATGGATGGATGGATGGATGGATGGATGGATGGA